ATTTTTAATTTTATTTTTTTTTATAGATATATGTTTTATAATGAAATAATAAAATTACCTAAGAGATATAGGTTTAAAATCATAAGTTCTGCTGAGAAGAGAATTTAAAGTACTAAAAATCCTTTACCAATAAATAGTGCAGAGGGTAAAACAAACAGTATTATGTTTCAGCATAAAATTTAGAGTAAGGCTTATTGATATTATAATTGAAGAAATCCATACTAAGAATGATATTTATCAGGGAAGGTAAATCAATCTTCCCTCTTTTGAAGAACCCAATATTCTTGCAGCAAAAAATTCATAATTAGTCATCCTTATCATCATAGATAAGTCAGTTTTAAGTTCTTAAAGTCTCAATTCTTCAATCAAGTAACAATAAGTAATCACCAATAAACTATTCTACACTATTATAAGTTTTTTTCATCAAAATATATATTGATTTAATCCCGCAATCCCTATTTTTAATAAAAATTATTATCATTGATAAATATATTTCCTTCGTATTTGTATTACAACTTGTATTCTTATCTAGTTTGTAATGAACATAATTTTTCTTAATGGAAATAGTGTGTCCAGGGCATGTGAAAAGATTCATAATTGTGGATTTATCATCAGCAAACCTTAAGCTAAAGATCTTTGCATCTAATGTTTAAATGAAAAAAAAGTGTTTAATTAGTTAAGAAGATGCTCAATAAGAACTCTTTAAACTAAAAAGATAATTAGTTAAAAAAAGAAAGATCTAAATCAAAAGGAAATAGATTTTTTGTAAATCTTTAAAAATGGCTTGAGAGGTTATAAACTCTTGACTCGTTTGTCAAATAGTATGTGAAAATTGAAAAGCAATTTAAAAATTATTAAGACATCAAGGATCATCTTTTAAAAAATCTTGATTCCTTTATATAAAGATTTGTTGAAATAAATACCGGAATGTTGAATTACTCAAATGAAATATTCGTAATTTCAAAAAATAACTCTCATTTTTATAAATTCATTATTTATAGCATATCAATTTAACTTGCAAATAACACAAGGGATGTTAAAAAATAATAGTCGACCTTGTGGAGAGTTAATTTATGATATTTATTCAGAAAAAAATTTGTAGAGAAACTAGATCATTAGAGCTGGATAAATAAGTGAATTTTTAAAAAAGTGAGGAAATTAAGAATGATTAACTCAATATTTTTTGAAGGACATAATATAACTGTCTGGTTTTAAGAATACAGAATCACTACAAAGGTTAACACAATGAATGCCTGATAATTTTAATAAGGTGAGAAATTATTTACTTAACTGCAAATTAGAGAAAGTTGAATCCAAGGAGTACACAACAATTCATAATAAAGGCACTACAGATCTATTTTGATGGAGATGTAAATTCCTCCTTAAAACTATTAAGTTCAGAGGGCAAAATTTGTGTTGGAACTAATATTTAATAATGCCAGAGAGTATCTTACATTCCTGATATAAAAAGGATTAAACCATTTACTTAATAATAGCCCTCCATATTTAAAAATAAAAGATATTAGTGTCTAAAAAAAAATAAATTAAATAAATTAGTATCATAAGTTTATGAAAAATATTTAGCTGCAATAAATTAATCAGATTTCAAGATTTCAATGAATAATCAATAAAATTCAAGTTTATCATCCTACATTTGAATTAAACCTAGTTCCTAATAACATTTCAAAGTAATTACCATTTCAAACTTATAATTTATAAAAAATAGATAATAATTGCCCTGTCATTTGTGTAGATAACAATTAAAAAAATAAAATTAGAAGTATTACCATCAATTAATAATATAAATATTCTGTTAATATATATGATTATTTAAAACAAATATAATATTTCAATAATTCTCTTCAATATATAAAATATAGTATATATTATAAGTAGAGATTTATTAGAATTAAAAAAAAATACAATTCGATTGTTTTATTTGATAATATATGAAGCATTTAATTTTAAAAAAATATTTGTCAGTAATAAACAGAATATTTCCATATAAATTCAGCTAATATCTAATTGGATAATAATATAAAATGAATTAATAATTATATGAACCTATGGTTTGTTAAAAGGATTAAATACCTAATCAAATTAAACAAGGCTACTGCAACAAAAATACTAATATTTTTATTTGTTATGATTAAACAAAAAAAGCATTAATACCATTAAAATTTTCAAAATATTCATGCAAGATATTATCTAGTCTATGCATAGTAGAATTAGATTTGATATATTCTACTGAAAAATAGAATTAGCCAATAGAATTGGAATATGTATTTTCAATTAATGAAAATGCCGCTGTAACCAAAATGATTGTATAACTAGGAGAAATTAAAGTTTATGGAGTAGTAAAAGAAAAGGAGGAAGCTAAATTAGAATATGAAGAAGGTATAAAACAAGGAAAAACTATGGCATATAGTGAATAAGATACGAGATTTCCTTAAATAAAAAGAGTGAAAATAGGATAACTTGAGCCAAATAAATAATTAAAAATTAAGTTTGAGTATATATAACCTTTATAAGTTTTTCTTAATAAATTTTGGAAATTAGAATTATTTCCGATTGTGGATTAAAATTATGTAACTAAGAATATGATTGGTATTCATGATGAATAGATTTATGGATATCTAAATAGATTATTTCATATTAATGATTTTAAGTTTGAATTTAGATAAGACATCTAAGTGGAAATAAATTTTGATTCCAATATTACATTTTGGAAATCTCCTACTCATAAACTAGAATAAAAAAATGTTATAATAAATGAAGATGTTAAAACTTAAGAAAATAATAAAGAATTAAAACTTGTTTTATAGGATATTCCTAATAATTATATACCTACTAAATAGTTTACCTTACTTTTTTCTTCAGATAAAATTAATTTACCTCGTGCTATACTTAGTCATACTAATAATGATGCTTTACAATATTAAAAATATTGTGCAACATTAACATTCATTCCAAAATTTAATGAGATATCTTTAGATGATGCTTATACACAATATTTAGATGGTTTAAATATAGCTGAAAATCAAGTAATTAAAAGAGGTAATTACTTATTTATTATTGATCGAAGTGGTTCTATGAGTGGATCAAGAATTAGAAAGGCAAAAGAATCCTTAATTTTATTTCTAAAAAGTTTACCTTAAGATTCTGAGTTTAACATAATTTCATTTGGTACCAATTTTTAATCATTGTGGAAAGAATCCGAAAAATATTCATAAAAAACATTAGAAATAGCAATAAATCATGTTTAATAAATGGACGCTAATATGGGAGGAACTTAAATAATTACTCCATTAAAGGAAATGGTATATAATAAAAGTTATGGAGTTTCTAATAAAACAACTTTAAATGTATTTTTACTTACTGATGGAGAGGATGAAGCTGATCCTATTATTAATATGGTTAAAAAGAATAATCTAGCCTAAACTAGAATCTACACTTTAGGAATAGGTGAAGGTTGTAGTTAATATTTAATAAGAAGAGTGGCTGAAGTTGGAAATGGTAAATATTAAATTGTTAGTGATAAGGAGGATATTAATGAAAAAGTAATTGATTTATTGGAAGATTCATTAACTCCATATTTATAAGCATTTACTTTAGAAACAAATTTTAATAATATAGTTTAAATTATTCCTAATCCAGAATCAATTGTTTCTTTAAAAAAAAATGAAGAACTTACAATTTCAATTCTTTTTTCAAATGAATAAATATAAGAAAACCTTGAATTTAAAATCAATTGTTTTGATCCTTAAAATGAAAAACAAATGTCATATTCTGTAAAATTAAATTTAAATTAATCTTAAAATAATGAATATTTTCATAAATTGGCTACACATAAATTTATAACTTATTATGAAAACTCAATTAAATATGGAGAACAACATGTTAATTTTATCAAGCTTAATAGATAAAATATTAATTCAAATGATATTATTAACTTATCAATTTAAAATCAAATACTATGTTCTTAAACAGCTTTTATTTGTGAAGTTTGCAATTTTGATGATTAATTTAAATAATAGATATAATCAAAAGTATATATGCCTAAATAAGAAAAGTTTCATACTCTTGGAGTTGATTATAATGATCAAAAACTCATGTATAAAAGCTAAAAGAAACGGAGTTTGTAACTTAATTAACCTTATAAAAGTCAAAGTTCAGCTGGCTGTTGTGGGGGAGGTGGATCTTAAAATACTAACTTTAAATCAAGCACATATTCTATTTCCACTCAGAAATAATAACAATTTGATATCTAAAATCAACCTTTATTATAACAACAAAAAACAAATTAAAAAATAGATAAAGTAAATAATAATTAGGTTACATATGAATAATTGATCAAATTTGCTTAAGCAGATGGAAGCTTTAAAATTAATAAAGAAATTAAAACAATTATCAATTTTAAGAATCTGTAAAATCGTTAAAATCTAGAAGATGATATTTGGTTTACTTTCCTTATTTTATTATATTTAGAAAATTATTTTAGTCAATTTAAAAAATCATGGTAGTTGGTTTATTAAAAAGGAATATCATATTTAAAATAAAATGGAATAGATTATAAATCAAAGAAAAATGAATATAAAATATGATAAATTATATATATATAAAACATGTTAAATTATCCATAACATTATTATCTAATACGATCAACCAATCAAATTACTAATGAAATTATCCTTTAATGAATTTAGATTTTAATATATGTGGTGATTGCTGTATAATTTAATACTACTCTTCTAATAACAGCATTAACAAAGGATATCAAAATAAAGTAATCAGAAATAAAAAAGATTTGAATTCATAATTATTTGTTATCATTAATTTTATTGATAAATCAGTCAAATTTTGGTGTTAAAATTCTAAACGATAATTTTGATTGATGGTTTAATTTCAATTATATAAGATAAAATAAAAGACTAAGCTTCATTAATTATGATATACAGATATTTATAATTAAGCATATTATAATCCCATAATGTCCAAATGATTTTTTACTACTAACTATTCTTATATATTATTTTGCGACCAGTTAATAATACTTTCATCAAAATAAACTCATAGAAAAAAAGGAATAAATATGAATGAGCTGGTTTAATGAAAAAAAGAAAATTAGATTTAAGCTTATTAGTAACTAGAGTAATATTTGTAGTAATGATAATATAAGATTTAATTAATAAGAAAAAGTAATTATTAAAGAAAGCAAATAAAAAATCTAAGGATCCATAAATTTCATACATTTATTTAAATATTTGACAGAAGAAATAATATTAAAATTATGAAATCAATATTGGCTCATGAAGATTGTGGTGCTGGTGTCACATTTAATGATTTATAATAAAAATATTGGCCTTAAAAATTATATTTAATGTAAGTATAATGAAAATTGATGGTCATTTATGGGTACTTGCATGAAAAGAATATATGATCAATATCATTTTTTGATTTAGAAATAATACTTTTAATTCAATTAATAGAGATAGCATTTCTAGCCCTTAACTGGATATTTTATGCATCCTTCTTATGAAGACAAAAATCCTCATTTAAGCTTTGTTTCTTGGTGCAATTAATAGAACTATGAAATTAAAATGGGGAAATTCTACCAAACCCAAGCTTGTGAAGTTCAGGATAGATGGACTATTATAATAAGTTCTATTGATGATTTCTAATTTGATTCATCAAAGTTTATACAGAGAAAAAGTGTGAAGAAAAACCTATTGAATAACCTCTTATTAGATAATTACCATATTCTGTCTAGTTTTTTCCAATTTCTAAAATATAGTATCATAAAAATAATTTGAAGAAAATGATAATGCCTTCTAGAAAACTTATCAGAGCCATCACAGTCCAACAAAATAAATTATTTAAATAAATATTTTAAACAAAAGTTTAGTAACAAAATCATAAATAATATTAATTTTCTTTCACTTATTAATGTAAGAACAGTAAAAAGTATGCTTAAGTTTAGATTGCCAGAAGTAATTGAATCAAATTGTAGAAGAAGAGAAGATTCAAAAACAATTATAGGAAGTCACAATGGAAAACAAAGATAAATAGTTATAATCTTTAGAGAATCAGCAACTTAAGTAAACTTAAATTCAAACATAATAATAAATCATTCAACAATCTCATTAATTAATACAAAAACCATTTTTTTATCAATTAATATAGAATAATTCAATTAAATAAGACAGTAAATGTTATCAATAGCAATTAATAAGGATTGTTCAATTTTAATAGCTGGGTGTAAAAAAGAAATTAAAGTATTTGAATGGAAATAAGAAGTTTTAAAACAAACTCAACTTCTCAGTGAACATTAAGGTGATGTATTTACTTTAAATTTTATGAAAAAATCTAATCACTTTATTTCTGGAAGTGAGGATTAATCAATTATCATATGGTCTGTGAATCAAAGCAATAAATGGATTTGCTAATAGAGATTAAATTAACATAACGGTTGGATATATTGTTTAGTATTGAATAATAATGAAGATTTGATCATTTCAGGTAGTAGAGATTGTGCAATTAAATTCTGGACTAAATAGAATCAATGGCTATGCGAATAAACTATCACAGATCATACAAATTATGTATTAGGATTAAGTTTAAATTAACAATAGAATAAATTGATTTCATGCGGATATGATGCATTAATATTAATAATAGTACAATCATAATAGGATTCTAAATGGATTGTAATTTAGAAGATAAATATTGAAACATTTGTTAGTCGAATATGCTTTATTAATGATAATGTATTCATTTTTTAACCAGATGAAATAGAATAAATGTATGTTTATGAAATAAACAATACAAATAAATAGTATTTAAAGACACAAGATATTTTTGTTAAGGGTGGTAGTAGTGATAGCTTGTTATTTTCTTTATAATTTATAAAATCAAAATGCCTGCTTGTAAATAGGAATGACAAATATGTGAATTTGATAAGGGCAAAGGAAAATGGAGAGTATTAAATTGAATAAGTAATTGAATTTGGACATATTAATTTATTTGGATGTATGAGTGATGATGGGGAGTATTTGATAACTTGGGATTAGGGTTCAAAAGAAATTCAGATAAGAAATTACAATGAAATATGAAATAAAACACGAATATAAATCAATTAATTTATTTATTTTTTTGAGAAAAACCTTTTATCAAAAGTATAAAAATTTCTCTTCCTTAACTTATTTATTTAATTACAATTTTTGGTATTATCTCACCAATTTTATGATAGTTAAGTAATGAACTTTATCGGATTGATTAATTAGAGATCAATTTTTATTGTCATAAGTAGGAGCATTGAGGGATCACAAGAATATTTTTTGATTTAAAATGCAGATTATAGTTTTGAGAATAGAATGGACATACCTTTCTAATTATTACTAATTATTCATATACTCAATGTAGGATATAGATTATTATTTATTGAGAGAATGGGTGTAATGAAGGAATATTTCAGATTATTTTTGAATTAATAGAATTGTTCCAAATTATTTAATGAGAATAAACCTAAACAATCAATCGAATTTATATCTTTAACCAATATAATCAGAAATAACCTAATTAAACTAATAGGACAGTCGACTAATTTTGATTTATAGAAATAAAATTTAATTGATACTTATAGATTGTATTGCATATTTTCTTGAACGTAAACCATATTAAGTTGTTGTTATCCAATATTTTTTCATATAAAATGAAATATGAAGTTCTATTTTGATGTATTAAGATGAATGATTCTAAATTGTTTATTAATTTATATTGCATTCTATAAAAGATAAATTATTTGATAAATTAAATTGAAATAATTTATATATTTTAATAAAAAAGGCTTTAAACTTTTGGCTATAATATATATTTAATGTGCTTTGCTTATATAAATTGATGTAGTTGTAAGGATATTAAAACGATTTTGAAGAAGTTTTTATTTTTAATTTTGATTAGATTCGATGAAGGAAAATTTATTTGTTCAAACCAGTAAATGAAAATGTCAAAAAAATTAAAAAACTAATATAAATGCTTGATTGATCTATGAATAATTTCAATCATAATTTTTTTGCTCCTTTTTGCTCTAGCAATTTTTCAAGATTCTCATTTTCTTATGTTATAAATTTTGATTTTTTAATACTGCAACAATCAGCAAGTAAAATTGGACTTCTAGCAAAAGTCTTGCTGCAAACTGGTTTTCCAAATTCTTCTAGTATCCTTTTACCTGCATCATAAATATAAATGGATCCATCATACAATCCTACAATAAATTATTTTCCACATTTAGATAATGTAACACAAGAAATATCTATTGGAAATCGATTAATTATTTATTATACTTTTGTTTCTTTATTAATCAAGTCTAACCTCCTTCCTGTATAATATAATTCTTGTTCAAATAGTGTTATTTTTTATGCTTTAACTTTTGAAAATTTAATAGTATTAGATCCAAAAAAGCAAATATCTGTAAATTCTTGGAACAAATATTCATATACTTAATTATCTTCACTAATAACTTTTATAACTTTTGTATTCTCATTAGCTTAAAATGCTTTGATTGATACTTGCTGTTTTAAAATTACTTGAACACTTCCTTAGAAATTCCAACATCTAAGTTTTTAATCACTTCCTATTCCATATAAGATTCCATTTTCTGAAAAGGATAAAATGCTGGACTAAGTAGATGAAGTTAATTAATTACCCTCAAGAATCAGAAGAGATTAGTTTTTGATAAGGTCATAGACAATAAGTGAATCTCTATATTAGACTGCCAATAATTATTTATCATCAAAATATGCAGGAGTGTATGCTTGGTAGGAAGGTGAATAAAGTTTTAATTAAATTTTAGATTAAGCTTTATGATAGAAGTAGAATTACACTTGAGAAACTTCCGTGTAGCAAGCAACTTATTCTACCCAAAGAACTAGAAAGTCATCATTTTTGTGAGATAAAGCATGAGTAATTATTAAAGATCTGTAATCTGAATCTTTACATGAAGATTAAGAAATATATTTTTAAAGCAAAGTATATGTATCATAAGTATCCCAAAGTCTTATTTCTCCATCTTCATGACATGAAAATAATATTTTGCCATCTCCTGAAAATACCATTGTTAAGATTTTAAAATTGCTGCTAGTATCATCTTTAAAAATGGCTAGCTATTATTTTGCTTACATTGACCATAATATGATAGTCAATTTTAAATCTTCAAGAGCTACTTTAGAGGAATCTTTAGATATTGCTATTGCTCCTATTCCAGAAATAATATTTATATTGAGATTTTCAACTACTTATTGAACCTTTTCCTATAAAAGACTCACAATTTTTAATGGAGATTTGGATATATAAAATTTTTAATCAGGAGACATTAATATAACTTCTTATGAATCTTTAATTTTCGCTTGGTTCTGATATTTACTATATTAAAAAGCTATTTCCAAATCCCAAATCAAATTAGTTGGAGTATATCCATCTAAATGTTGCGATATTAATTAATTAGTTTAGACATCAAATTAAATCTTTTCACATTTATAACAAGGTATTCGAAAGTTTCTTTCAACCAAATATTTTGTATTGAAACCCCATACTACAATTTATCCATCTTAAACAATAGCAGCACAATAATGAGCGTCATCAGAATACTTTATCATATTTATTCTTTCCTTTTAATTCATTAAAACATCAATAGATTTCTAATACTGCAAATCCCATCTCATGATTTAGTATTGTGAGTGAGAAATTAATTATAATCCATCAGATGAAATTTATAATGATTCAATTCTCTCTGAATGACCAATCATTTCTATTTGCTATTATTATAGTGCTTTCAGATTCCAAAGTCTTATGTACTCCTAATTTACTGAAGCTAATAAATTTTTATTTAACAAAGTTAACACATTAATTGAAGAAGAATTAGTTTGAAACATTGAAATCAGCTTATATGTTTTAGTGTCCCATAATTTAATTGTATTATCTTGGTATCCAGTTACAAAATTCATACTATCTGCAGAAAAGGCTATTTGTGAACAATATAATGAAAAATTTTCTAATTCTTCTAAGGATTGTATCAATTAATTAGTCTTTAGATCATATAATGATACTACTTATTTTGGTTGATCACTTTATGCATAAGATAAAAATATTGCTTGAGTTTGCTGTTTATTTACAGCCATTTAAAAAATCTTTTTGACATTTAATTGTTATTTTGTGATGATTTCTTTAGTTGATATATTAAATTTTGTTTAATATTATTTGTCTATTATAGTAAATGTTTTGCTATCTGGAGAAAAGCCAAAATAACAAATTTAAATTTGATCATAATTTTTGTAAAAGTAAACATCCACAAAGTCGCTTTAAACGGAATAAAAATAAACTAAATTATCTATCCCTATTATGAAGTACTCAAAATTGATTAAAATGAAATTTTACTGAGGGTTTTTCAATTAAAACATCTTATAACTATTGACATCATCTAAAGTATGTAATGAAACATATTCTTCATTCCTAATTATGATTTATTTTGAATTATTAAATTGAATCATTTATAATGGTGTTTAAAAGGGCAGTGAAATCTCTTTAATTTAATTGGACTTCTCAATGTTTGAAATATTGTAAATTGTGAGTTTATTATTTAAACCAATTATCAATAAATCATCAAATTTATTATATAAAACTGAATGACAGATTTATTACTCCTCCAATGTTTATATTGTTTAATTATTGTCTAATTATTTTATAAGGATCCCATAAGTAGCACAAATAGCAATATAATTAGAACTCTTTACAAGATCAAAATACGCGTTTTTATTTTCTGAAAAAATTATTTTTTCACTATTTTCTAATGCATACTATTCCTTTGTTGTTTCATATAGGTAAATTTAATGATAGGTTCTGCAAAGCAATTATTTATTATCATAAGAATACAATAGTTTATTAATAGTACCTTTTACTGTTATTGATATCAGAAGCTCAATATTATTGATTTTTTTCAAACTCCAAAAGTTAATTTTACCTTGATCTATTCCTGCAGCTAATACTTAATCATCATTAGAAAACGTTAATGAATAAGTTTTAAATGGTAATTTTGTAATTTCTTGATAATCTTTAAATCCTCTGATTGATAAAATTAAAATATCTGAGCCACCTATAGCTAATAATTTAGCATTATGTGAAACTTAAGTGCAGCTTATTGTTGATGAAAATTTTAATTGATAATTTTAGGAGTTGGGATTTATATGTAATGCTTCTCTTTTCCATATAAAGTTGACAGAGTTATTATTTTATGCAGCAATATATTGTCCATCATGAGATATTATAATCTTAAAATATTTATAGTTTTACAGAGGAACTAATTACTCCAAGACAAGAGGGTCATCTAATCTTAATATTTAAATTGATTAGGTAGTTAAACATGCCAGAACATTTTATTCTTCAGAATATGAAGCAGAAATGACTTTTTAATCATTTGGAAATTAAAAAGTTTTTATTTTTTCATCCCCTTATACTTTCCAAATTTGAACTGTACCATCTTCACTCCCTGATATTAATTCCTTTCCATCTTTTGAGAAAAATAAACTGGTTATTAATTTTTTATGACCAATTAAAGTTTATTTTTCTTTACAAATTATATTTTCCCATTAAGAGTTTTCAATTGTTGCGCAATTAAAATTACATGATTCTATTGATACATTCTTGAACTTAGTATTGTTTAAATTAGAATTAAAAAAAGTAAGATTATTCAATTTTGTATCAGATAGAATAACATTACTTAAATCTATTTTACTTAAATTTTCTTCTAAGGTACTTAATAGATATATAGTGTTTGATGCTGTTCTAATTAATTCTTATTGGTTGTGTTATTTTGATAATTGAGTAATTTAAAGTAGTTTGTTCTTAATATTAAAAATAGAATTCAACTTTGGCTTTAATAATTCTATTGAACCTGAATAGTGATCTTTAGATAAGTTAAATTAATTTGCATTAAATCGACTGTTGTAAAAATTTCTACGTACAATCGACTCATCTTATTCTTGAAAAATTGTTAAAAGCAAATTTAAAATATATTTAGCTACAAAAAACTCCTAGATTGATTTATGATTAAAAGTATATATGCTTCCTTTG